TCCTTTCCTTTCCTTTCCTTTCCTTTCCTTTCCTTTCCTTTCCTTTCCTTTCCTTTTTTCCTTCATAATTTGTAGTTGCCTTTTAAAGTAGATTTCCCTCCCTTATCTTTATAGTCGAAGAACAATAGTTGAAAGTGGAGTTCCTTAAGATTTCCCATCTTTGGCAGCTTTAAGTAGTTTACTGTAGCCGATTTACAGTGGGATACATCTAAGGCTGCACTGTCCCATCCTGTCACCACCAGTGGCCGCTGTGGGCTTGAAAGGTCTTGAATTGAATTGAGATGGACTGTAGGTGTAAAACACCCAGCACATTTTGAAGAATTAGCATACAAAACAAAAATATAAACTTTTTACATTGATCTTAATAATTAATTTTTTTACTGACTACATGTTGAAATAATATTTTAGATATATTGGGTTAAATAAAATGTTATTAAAACTAATTTCACCTGTTTCTCTTTACTTTTTAAAAAGTTGCTACTAGACAATTTAAAATCACGTATGTGCTTGGATATGTAATTGGGCAGGCCGATCTAAACGTCCAGGAGATGAGCAGAGAGGGACATATAATGGAAAAGTCTCTTACCTTTACCCTATTCTACTTCTTTTCTTTCTACATAAAGTTTTGTGTACCTGTGCATTCTGCTTTATAACTATGTTTTTTTTTTTCTTTAAATCTAATTTTCCATCTAACAAATATTTTGAATTGCACTTTAAGTGAGTTTGATAACAAGATAGCATTTTACACTGGTTCTGTTTTTTGTTTTGTTTTCCTTTGGAGGAGGGAGATTATGGGTAAAATTGAGTATATTAAAATGAGCTTTTAGAATTACAAAAGGAGTACCTACTCATGATTTTAAAAATCACTCAACATAAAGGTATGAAATGTAAATTGAAAGTTCCTCAAATTCTTCTAGAAAGTTTCTGTGTTAAAAAAATGTGTGAATGTGTGTATAGTTACACAAAAGAGATATTACTTTACATATTTTTTGGCCATGTGCCTCTTTTCAATTATTTCTTCCTTGTTGCCTTTCCACAGGAGCATAGTAAATATACATATTAAAAAAAAATTTTTTTTTTTCAAACGTTTATTTATTTTTGGGACAGAGAGAGACAGAGCATGAACGGGGGAGGGGCAGAGAGAGAGGGAGACACAGAATCGGAAACAGGGTCCAGGCTCTGAGCCATCAGCCCAGAGCCTGACGCGGGGCTCGAACTCACGGACCGCGGGATCGTGACCTGGCTGAAGTCGGACGCTTAACCGACTGCGCCACCCAGGCGCCCCTAAATATACATATTTTTAAAAGGACTTGTATAGTATTCCATTCTATGAATCCATCATAATCTATTTAACTGTTTTCTTAGTGAGTATTTAGGAGTTTTTAATTACATGTTTTATTGAGATAATTGTAGATTAACACCTAGTTTTAAGAAATAATGCAGAAATATCCCTTGTACACTCCTCATGGTAACATTTTTTAAACAAATTTTACTTTTTTTAAAACGTTTCTTTATTTATTTTGAAAGAGAGAGAGAGAAAGACAGAGAACGAACATGTGCCCAAGCAAAAGAAGGGCAGAGAGAGGGAGAGAGAGAATCCCAAGCAGGCTCTGTGCTGTCAGCAGAGCCTGACACGGGGCTCGAACTCAGGAAACATGAGATCATGACCTGAGCTGAAATCGAGAGTTAGACACTTAACTGATTGAGGCACGCAGATGTCCCCAGTGGTAACATTTTGTAATGATAGTCTGATATCAGAATATTAATATTGACACAGTCTGCTAATCTTACTCAGTTTTCCTCAGTTTTCCTTGTACTCATTTGTGTGTATGATATATAATTTTTATCATCTGAATATACTCACTTATCTATTACTACAATCAAGATACTGAGCAGCTCCAATGCTACAAGGATCTTTCATGTTGCCCTTTCATGACCATAGCCACCTTCCTCCAACTCCTTCCACCCCTTACTCCTGGGAATCACTAATCTTTCCTCCACTTATAAAATTTTGTCATTTCAAAATGTTACATAAGTGGAATCATATAGTATGTTACCTTTTGGTTTGGGCTTTTGCTCAACATAGTTCCCTAGAAATTCAAGGAGATTTATCAATATGGTGACGTGTAGTAAAATCTATTCGTTTTATTTCTGAGTAGTATTGAATGGTATGGATGTGCTAGAATTGGTTTAACCATTCATCTACTGAGGGACATTTTGCTTGTTTCCAGTTTGAGGCTATTATGAATAAAACCATCGTGAACATTCATGTACAAGTTTTAGTGTGTGAAAATAAATTTTTATTTCTCTGGAATAAATGCCCAATAGTATAGGCAATAAGTGAAGATCAGTCCAATTAAATCATTTGTATGTGAAAGAAAGATATGTAATATGTATAGCTATAGGACAGGCAGGCAAAGGTTGTTTGTTTGATTTTTGGATGGGAGTGAACTGATTGTGTTTATGTGTAGAAGAGAGGCAAGTGGAATAAAAATGTATGGTGAGGCAATAAACAGAAAAAATAGTGGATGGAACACAGTTCAATATGTGAGAAATTGTCAGATTCAAAGCATAGGTACAAGATTATACTTTATTAGGAAGGGGTTCCTCTCCAAGTAAGATGAATATGAAAAGATTTCAGGAAAAGAAATAGGAAAATGAGGATGTTTCATTTTCTTTGTTAACTAGATCATGAACTATGAACACAGGATACTGTCTTATTTAATCAATGTATTTCTATCCCTAGTAGTGATGTTAATGTACCTTGTAGGCTCCCAAAAACTTGATTTTGAGATGAGTAAAAGAAGGAAAAGAGGAGGGAAGGAAGGAAGGAAAGAAGGAAGGAAAGAAAGAAGGAAGAAAGGAAGAAGAGTCAAGAACACAGCACTGGAAAGGCCAGGGACCTGAGGAAAGAATTAAAGTTTGGAATAGTCTGGAAAACAAAATACTAGTACAGAATTTTTCAAACTTTTTTTTCTTAAACCAAGACCCACAGTAAAACAAATACACAACTACACTGCAGCTCATGTACACATGCATACATATATACCCATTTACAAGTGAAACAAAAGTTTTAAAAACTATTTTTATCTTTAACATATATAGTTAACTTATAGTTTCTTTTATGACCTACCCTAATGTTTCCTATCCTATTCCATCATTAAAACTTTATGATCAAGAGCCACTGAATTAATTTCTGGATTCATGAATTATCATCTGAAATTTGTGTCTGGTGTAAGAAAGTGGTCCAGGTTCATTCTTCTGCATGTTGTTGTACAGTTTTCCCAGCACCACTTGCTGAAGAGACTGTCTTTATTCCATTGGATATTCTTTCCTGCTTTGTCAAAGATTAGTTGGTCATATGTTTGTGGGTCCATTTTGGGGTTCTCTATTGTGTTCCATTGATTTGAGTGTCTGTTTTTGTGGCATATCATCTGAAATTTGAAGATTGTTGGATTAAGAGATGTTAAGAAAGATTGCTGCGCAGATGAAGAGCTTGACTAAGTTTGTAGGACATGTTGTAGTGGCAAGAGTCCTGGATTTGTATCTCTCAATTAGGGTCCTTTTTCCATTGCTTATTAGCATAATGACTATGCACAGTTCAGTAAATTCTTCAAACCTTGGTTTTCTTATTAATACAATGACTATAATGACCTTAATCCTGTTAATTTACTCTGATAACTATTAATCACACAAGTGTCTTCTAGTGCCTGGCTTGTCACAGATACTCAACACGTGGAAGCTAATGCTGGTTGATGATGTGATGATTATGTGAAGATATACTGTAATGTATTGCTTGATCCATAGCCATTATAATCATTAAAGATTTAAATAGAATAAGTATTGATCTTATATACTATCCATATATCCATATGGATATCCATATATTGTCCATTATTATAACATCCATTATCCATTATGGATATCCGTATATTATCCATTATTATAACATGTTGTTGTTGTTAAAAACAGATGACTATAGTAAAATTGACAACTATGAGTTAATGAGTAGAAAATAACCATATATTGCCCCATGTATAGACTTGAGTTGTTCTCTTTTGAGTATTCTAATCTTCGAATATTCAAGCTGTTCAGAGGTATTTTTCCCTTAATTATACCCATGAGGATGAATTTTACTGTGATGTTTCTTGGTTCAGGAAGCTAAGACAGTCCATTCCACGTGACTTTTCCCTTACAGAATTAAGAGATTAGTATTAGAGTTGATCATTTTGTAGTCACACATTAAAAAAATAATGAATTAATGGAGAGAGAAAACAATGTTTTCTAACATATGGTACAACCATAATAAGATATGATAAAAGTTTCCTAGATGAAAACATGTTTACACAGAACACTGGTATGACACATTAAACAACCCATAGTTTTTACTCATTTTAGCTACTTCAATTCTCTTTTTTTTAATTATTTATTTATTTTGAGAGACAGAGAGAGAGACAGAGAGACAGAGAGAGAGGGAGAGAGAGAATCCCAACAGGCTTCATGCTGTCAGCAAGAAGCCCAATGCAGGGCTCGATACCACAACCCTGGGATCATGACCTAAGCAGAAATAGTCAGACCCTTAACTGACTGAGCCACCCAGGCACCTCTCAATTCTCCTTAAATGGTTTTGTGTTTTATTATGAAAGATGATGGAAAACAACAATGACGATGAAGCAAAGCTCGAAGAAGAAATAGAAGCTGAATTGGATAAAATCAGCATTTCTTCATTGGAAAAAGATGATGATAGTGATTCAAAATCAGAAACCCAGAGTGTTGATAGTGATACAGTAAGTGTTAAATACTGGACTTTTAGGAGCCTTTTAAGTGGAGTAAACTTTTCAGGAGAAATATTACTTTTCTCAGTGTGTTTTACATAGTTATATAATTTTTTAACTTATGATCCCTTTTAAACAATGTGTATTGTTAGATATTTTAATATAAAAATGAAAATAGAAATCACATATAATTTCATATGCATATGTGTGGGTTTTTTTGCAAAATTGGGATTATATTATACATATAATTATTTATATCCTGCTTTTTTTTACTTCCTCATGAGTGTCTTAATGTTATTAGATATACATGAAAAACAAAATTTATGTAAACTCTTTAGATCTATAGAAATAGTTATTTTTTTGGAAATCAAATATATCTTCTTTTCATTTGTGCATTTTCCCCAGTGTTTATATGCTTAGAAAATTTATTCACAGATTAATTCTTTTACATCAAAATCCTTAAACTAATGGGAATTTATTTTCAATTATGTTATAAAATGTAGATCTAGCTAGAAATTTTCCTGCATGTATTTAGTTAATATTATTTATTTATTTAAAAAAAAATTTTTTTTTAACATTTATTTATTTTTGAGACAGAGAGAGACAGAGCATGAACGGGGGGAGGGCCAGAGAGAGAGGGAGACACAGAATCTGAAGCAGGCTCCAGGCTCTGAGCTGTCAGCACAGAGCCCGATGCGGGGCTCAAACTCACCGACCATGAGATCATGACCTGAGCAAAGTCGGACGCTCAACCGACTGAGCCACCCAGGCGCCCCTAGTTAATATTATTAATATCACTTGATAAATAATTTACCTCTTCTCAATTGATCTACCTTTTTTTATAATTAAATTTTTTAATGTTTATTTATTTTTGAGAGACAGAGAGACAGCATGAGCAAGAGAGGGGCAGAGAGAGGGAGACCCAGAATATGAAGCAGGCTCCAGGCTCTGAGCTTTCAGTGCAGAGCCTGACGCGGGGCTTGAAACTCTGGAGCCCTGAGATCATGACCTGAGCCAAAGTCGGTCACTCAACCAACTGAGCCACCCAGGTGCCCCTGAACTGCTTTTTTTTTTTTTTAAAGTTTATTTATTTATTTTGAGAGAGAGAGAGAGAGAGAGAGAAGGAATGTGAGCAGGGGAGAGGCAGAAAGGGAGGGAGAAGGAGAGAGACAGAGAGGCAGAGAGACAGAGAGAAAATGAGAATGAATCTTTTTTTTTTTAATTTTTTTTCCAACGTTTATTTATTTTTGGGACAGAGAGAGACAGAGCATGAACGGGGGAGGGTCAGAGAGAGAGGGAGACCCAGAATCGGAAACAGGGTCCAGGCTCTGAGCCATCAGCCCAGAGCCTGACGCGGGGCTCGAACTCACGGACCGCGAGATCGTGACCTGGCTGAAGTCGGACGCCCAACCGACTGCGCCACCCAGGCGCCCCGAGAATGAGTCTTAAGCAGGCTCCATGCTGTCAGCACAGAGCCCTATGCAGGGCTCGAACTCATGAACCATGACATCATGACTTGAGCTGAAATCAAGAGTCGAATGTTTAACTGACTGAGCCACCAAGGGACCTCTCAATTGATTTGTCCTATCTTTTGTATATGTTTAGCTCTAAGATTATCTATTCTTTTCCATTATTCTGTTAGTTTTGGCCTATTGTAGTTTTTTAAGTATCAAATAGGTAAAATTGCTTTAGTTGTTTTGCTCTTTGAAATCTCCACTAAGCTTTTTCTAAAAACAAAAACAAAAACAACTCATTTGTTAAATTTCAAAAAGCAGTTCTACTTTGATTTTCAATTAGGATTGAAATAACGTATATACTACTTTTGGAAAGTTAATATTTTTACATTATAATGATAATAGTAATGATATTCAAATGAGACAAACAATTCTGAAGTTTTTCATTTAAATGTGAAATCCAACAGAATCATGGATGTGCTTCATAACCACTTGAAAATGAAGAGCAAATTTTAACCAATATACTTGTTTGAACTCATTCACATATTTTGCTCAAATTTTTGGTGTATCAAAACTTTTATCAAATATTTGATTCATAGGTTTAATAAACAATTTAACCATTGGTTTCATGTTTTTTAAATTTGAGGATGTGGATGAGTTACCTGAGTCAGTTCTTCACTGTATTGACATCATAAAGAATAAGAGTAAAACTGTTGAAGAGCTCATTCTTCAGGACTTGGAAGATACAGAGGTTTTAAGTAAGTACAGTTTTTAACTGCTTGGCAGATAAGTTTTCTGTAAGCAGGAATGATTTATAATTTAGAAAATTATATTGTTTCAAGTTCTTATCTGTTGTTATACACATGTATGTGCATTTGTCTCTAGTATATAATATACGAGATTTTTATTTACTCCATTAATTTATTTCCTGTATTACTTTCCTTATATGTCTAATAAATAGTAGCCACCAACAGTTTGTTTTACCAGTCTTAATTAAAACCAGAGATTGTATTACGGCTGATTCTTTTTTTAAAAAATTTTTAATGTTTGCTTATTTTTTTGAGAGAGAGACAGAACACGAGCGGGAGAGGGGCTGAGAGACAGGGAGACACAATAATTCTTGAAATTATTCTAAGAATAATAGAATGATTAAAGATTTAATTAGAATTAATCAAGGTTTAGTTTATAATGAAAAATGGCAACAGCCTAAGTATTTAATAGGATCTTAGTGTGTGCAACTACACCCATTAAAAAAGATGGCTTAGATGATATTTAATAGCATAAAAATATTCATGATGTAGTGTTTAAAATTATTATAAAAGTCAGTGTTACTTATGAAAATATTAGTGTAAGTTACAATATGGATATTCATAGATATTCATTCAACAAATATTGCTGTGTGAAATGATCTGTTTTAGCTACTAAGACTATAACACAGAACAAAATAGACAAAGGTCCTGCTTTCCTATTCTAATGTTCCAGTGTGGGGAGACAGACTATAAATAAATAAATATGTAATATTTTAATCATGATAACTTCTATGAAGGAAAAACTTTAAGATAGGGGATAGAGATTGGAGGTTGCCGTTTTAGGTAGGGTAAGTCAGGGAAGGCCTCTCTGAGAAAGTAATATTTAAGCAATGACTGAAAGGTAAGCCACATGGACATCTCAGTGAATGAGAAGGTGAGCTACGTGGATATCTAGAGAGACAGTGTTCCAGAAAGTAGGATGTGTAAAGGCCAAAGCACAGATCATATAAGTGTCGGATCATAGAGGGCTCTTATAAATCATGGTCTGGACTTTGGATTCTACTCTCTGTATGCTAAGGTTTTTGAGTAAAGAGTGACAGTATCTGACACATTTTGAGACAATCATTCTGGTGATTATGTAGAAAAGATGACTTGAGGTAGCAAAAGTCTACTACAAAACTGTTGTAATAGTGTGGTTAGAAATGAGAGTGATTTGAGTAGAAATGATGAAAAATAGTCATATTCAAGAAACCATTTTTAAGGTAAAAAGAACCAAATGGGTGTTTTATTGGTGGATTGGAATGAAAGGAAGAGAGGAAATTGACTCCCAAGATTTTTGTCCTGAGAACCTGTGTGCATATGTAAATACTTACTATATGTAGATGCTTCAAATTTTGGCAGTGACTATCTGTAGTTGAGTTATAGGGAATTTTAATGTTTTTTTAAATTTATATTTCCTGAAGTAAATATAATGGAAGTATATTATAAATATATTAGCAATTATATAGCCTAATTAAGAAAAAATAGAAGGAAACGCAATCATAGAAAATTAGTTACATAAAAGGTTATATAATTACAGTTGTAGCAGTGGTTTAGAAAATTATGAGATCTTATGTATCATTCTAATGAAATAAGTTTGATAGTATCAAAGGATAGAATAATTTTTCAAGAAAATTCAAATTATCAAAATTGTTTGAAAAGGGTGGAAAACATGATTAAAATGATAACCTGGCAAGAAGGTGGAAAAGGTTTCCTTCTCAAATGTCATTAGAAATTAGTATGATTTTTGGGGCACCTGGGTGGCTCAGTCAGTTAAGTGTCTGACTTTAGCTCAGGTTATGATCTCAAAACTTGTGAGTTCGAGACCCACATTGGGCTGTGTGCTGACAGATCAGACCCTTGAGCCTGCTTCGGATACTGTGACTCCCTCTCTCTGCTCCTCCCCTGCTTGCGCTCTGTGTGTGTCTCTCTCTCAAAAATAAATAAACATTAAAAAAAATTAAAGAAATTAGTATAATTTTAAAAAAGAAAAAAAGAAATCAGTATGATTTTACAACTGATTTCTTACAATCCACAAGGATAAACAAATCTGAAGATTATATTTCATTTATAATAAGCTACATATTTCAAATATAAATCTGTACAAGCATAACACACATACAAAAGAAGCCAGAAGCTAATTTCATTTTTGAATGTAGATATTTTGTTTAGGGCTCTCATTTGTAGACAGAAGCTACTTTAGCTCCTTTAAGCAGAAAGGTTTTTGGGGTATTTGTGTGTTTGTTTTTATGCATAGAGTCGATGTTTTGGTTACTTATTGCTGCAAAACAAACTGAGTGGTTTAAAATAACAATATGTTATTATCTTTTATGGTTCTGTGGGTTGACTGAGCTTAAATAGGCAGTTCTTGCTTAGATTTCTGTATGCATTTACAGTTAGATCTTAATTAGGAATGCAGTTAGCTGAAGTCTTTAGTCTTCACACGTAATATTTTTAGGAAAATAAAGACTTAAATATATCACAGAATCTAAATCACCCTCTGAAACCTGGCTTCAAAGAAATCTGTAGAATGTTATTTTTGCTTTCAACCTCTCACATAGGAAATCATGCTGGTAAGGCTGTGAGTAGGTGTTGAAGGCAATATATGCTATCGGACAAAACTGGTGTGAAGAGGTAGTTAACCAGCAGAACAGTCATCTGTAAAAAATAGTTTACTAGTAGGAGAGGTTCCCAGGATAGAACACATTAGCTGAATAAGGACAAAAAAAAAAAAAAAACAAAAAAAAAACCCTACATCTACACAAATGGTAACAGGACAATAAAATTCAACAAAAAACACATAAAACCAGGAATGAAAGCTCACTTCATTCACATTAATAATTATAATCTTTTAAATTAGTAATTTTATTAAAGTATTTTTAATATCTTGTGCAAGCTTATATTGCTAGTTTTTGGCAGGTAGAATTGAACTTTTGTTGATTTCTAATTAGGGTGTCATTGCAGTATAAAACAGCATTATTCTGTGTACATGGAAAATAAACTTCAGTATAAAATATGAAAGGTGATCAAAAGAGTGCTTTATAAATTTATTACTTTTATTTTTAGGACAAAGATTACAGATTTCCTGTGTTCTTTATTTTTCATTATTTTCCTATTGTTTTGTGTGACTCATCATCGAGTCACTGATAGAGGTTCCTGGATGACTCCGTCAGTTAAGCATCTAAGTCTTGTTTTCTGCTCAGGTCATGATCTCATGGTTCTTAAGATCAAGCCCTGTGTCAGGCTCTGCATTGACAGCATGGAGCCTGCTTGGGATTCTTTCTCTCCCCCTCACCCTGCCTCTCCCACATTCATGCGCATGTGCATGTACTCTCTCTCTCTGTCTCTCTCCCAAAACAAATAAAAAGAATATACTATGATAGAATTTGAGATTAAAGGATGATGAAAGTGTTTGAGATTTTAACATGTTTTGCCTTGCTCTCTAATATTTAAAGCTATAATATTTTTTTCTTTCTCTAGACTATAGTTATGGAGTGGTTTCTAATAATCATATGCATTTAAAGATAGAATTATCAACTGAACATAAAGAAAATCCGGAACAATTAATAAAGGTATATGATCAATATTTGACTGAAAGTACTCAATATTACAGTTAGAAATTTACCTTTCCCTCTTATAAAGGATGCTAGTTCACTCATTTAAAGTTCACTGATTAAAAATTAAAAATTTAATTATTTTTAAGCAAATAATATTTAGTATTGTGCTTTTCTCTGGCATGTAATAGACAACAACTCAAATTTCAACCTTTAAAAATATTAGAAATAGTGATTTGAACCATCAGTACCTGGAAATTTAACCATATTGTGTGATTATTTTTTCCCTAAAATCTCCAAGGAAGAAAACAATGACTATAATATTAATTACCTTGCTTAGGAATGTACTGTTACAGTAGATACTTTAAATACCCTATGGAAAATTTAAAAATAGAACATCTTATGTTAGTTAAAAAAAAAGATAAAATAAAAACATTCTTAAAGAAATAATATGAAAGGAGAGCCTAGCATTTTTGGTTAAAACCTCTAGAAATGTATTTGAGAAAGTTTCTTCTACAGGTTCAGCATTTTGGACTCTTTTACTTCTCATTTTACCCAACTATGTCTAATTTTACTAACTCTACTCCTGCTCCCTATGATGTTTAGTGTAATTTGAAATTGCTTATATATATATGTCTCGACTCCCTTTTTTTGGTAACAAACTTGAAATATTAATTTTGAATTATCATACTGCTACTTCATTGAAATAGATGTCCTGTATCTTACCAGCTAGAATATGGTGCAGGTCTAATTATGGAAAAGTATTCATCAATATTATGACTTTTTCATAATTTAGGTTAAAGTAGCAAATAGTTGTTTTTTAAATGTACTGAATGTATCAGCAGTTTGTATATGTGAGCAATCACTCTAATTGAGAAATATAGAAATATATTAGGAAGAAAACATTAGTAGAAACATTTGGAAATAATTTTCAAGGAATTTCTTTGTTTTCATTTGAGTATAGTTAACACACAGTATTACATTAGCTTCAGGTATACAGCAGAGTAATAAAACATCTCCACACATCATGCTATGCTTACCACAAATGTAGCTACCGTCTGTTACCATAAATGGCTGTATACCATCGACTGCGTTCCTAATGCTATACCTTTTATTCCTATGACTTATTCATTCCACAGATTTTCAGGCAGTTTAACTGAATAGTGCGGATGAATATCAGAGAGTGCTTAGAATTCTGAAAAATAAGGAGGGCAAAATATAGTCTGTTTGCATGGGAAAAACATTTTTAGTGTGCTATAGAGTTGTATTTGAGAGAGATTCAACGTAAATAAAGTTCTAGATATGTGTATGTAAATACTTGATACATTATTAAAGCGATTGCTTGACTCTTTCTTTAATTATTGGCATTCTTTTTAACCTCTTAGATGTTATCTGAAATAGAAAAAGAAGAATTTCTGAGGAGTAAAACCCATTGTAGCAGTCCTGATTCTATTCCAGAGCCTGGTCCTCATGATTTGCCTGTAGATGAACATGTTTTGTCAGGTGGGCTAAATGCTGAATGATAGTTTTGATAATTTTAATGTGATTTACTGTAGTTATCTGAAAAACGATTAAGAGTTTTCTTTTGACATTTAGAAAAATACAATCCTGATATTTGAAAATTATTATGCTTTACTGTACTTATTTAATTTCATATTTTCATAGTTTTTAAAAAAATTAATGTTTATTTATTTGTGAGAGAGAGAGACAGAGCACAAGCTGGAGGGGCAGAGAGAGAGGGAGACACAGAATCTGAAGCAGGTTCCAGGCTCTGAGCTGTCAGCACAGAGCCTGACAAAGAGCTTGAAGTCATGAGCCACGAGATCATGATCTGAGCCAAAGTCAGATGCTTAACCGACCGAGCCACCATGGTGACCCCATATTTTCATAGTTTTTTATACCTCTTAAATTAACTTGATTTAAATATATTTAAAATTTTCCATCTATATAGCTGACTGAAATAGATATACTCAGCCTTGGATTTTTAAGTGTCCTTTAACTATGTTCCTTAAGTATCTTTTAAGTACAGCACACACACACATATTATGTTTTTACATTAAGTTTTAGGTATATAGTTTAAGGCAAGTTATGTAATTTCTTAATTGACTGAAATGGAACTCCCTTATATATGACTGCAATAGAATTTTTATGTATATTTAAGAATGTATTTTTTGCATATTGTCCCTTTTACTTTGGTAATACATTGACATTATTTCGTCATTTCAAAATTACCCTTATACTTTACATTAAATCAGTTTTGAGAGGTCAGATTTTTTTTTCTTTTTTGAGAGAATGAGAGTGTGAGCTGGGAGTGGCAGAAAGAGGGAAGGAGAGAGAATCTTAAGCAGGCTCCATGCCCAGCACAGAGCCCAATGTGGGTCTCAATCCCACAACTCTGAGATCATGTCCTGAGTTGAAATTATGAGTTGAAATCAACTGACTGAGCTACCCAGGCACACTGAAAGGCATTATTTTAATAATAATAATAATAATACAATAATAATAATAATAATAATAATAATAATAATGTTTCTCTTCATGAATGCAGATGATACTGATATAAATTTTGGATACTGTGAAGTGGAAGAAAGATGTAGGCAGTCTTTTGAAGCTTGGCAAGACAAACAGAAAGAACTGGAAGACCAAGAGAAAGAAACTCTCAAAGCTCAAAGGGATAGAGAACAAAAGCAATTTGAAGAAGAAGAGGAAAAGAGACATTGCTGGATGAAACAGTTTGAAGTTGAAAAGAAGAAATTAGAGAATATTCACAAGGTAAGGATTTTTTTTTTTAATTTTTGTTGTTTTTCATACATTTTTTGAATCAGTAACTACTTCTGAATAGTACTGGTGTTTTGGATTATGGTGTGGATTGAGCTATGTTCTGTGTATTTTTTTTAATAGAATTTTACTTTTTGGACCAAATGACATTAGAAAATATTTTTTTAATATTTATCTTTGAGAGAGAGGGATAGGGGGTGGGGAGAGCCTGAGTGGGGGAGGAGTACAGAGAGAGGGGAACAGAGGATCTGAAGCAGGCTCTGTGCTGACAGTAGGGAGCCCGATGCAGGGCTCAAACTCATAATCTGTGAGATCATGTCCTGAGCAGGAGTCAGACCCTAACTGACTGAGCCATCCAGGCACCCTATTCTGTGGGTTTTAAGTACTTCTGATAGTTGAAGCAATTGACTGTGGTAATAGGATTTACTATGGACTTCTTGATTAGTTTTCACTGTAATTCATTGGAATTTCAGATGCTTCTTTGGATCTTGGGGGTCCCCTGGGTCTATGAAGTTACAAAGATTGTCCTAGAAAGGCTTATGTTTATTAGAACATAAACTGTTGTTTTTTCATACCCTTCTTATCATGGAAGAAGGCAACATAATTTACTTGATCATGAAATATCCTTGCTATGTGGTCTAATATATAGCAATTACATGAAACATTTGGTTGAAGTGGTTCAACCATGTAGGTGATGGCCTATGCTTTGCTCCCATATTGAGCTAATTCCTGGGCCAGAGATTTTTTGGTGTGAAGGAGTTTTATGTTGTTGTTTTACTTTTTTTTTTTTAATGTTTATTTAGTTTTGAGAGACAGAGCACGAACAGGGGAGGGGCAGACAAGGAGACACAGAATCCGAAGCAGGCTCCAGGCTCTGAGCTGTCAGCACAGAGCCCCATGTGGGGCTCAAACTCACAAACACAAGATCATGGCCTGAGCTAAGTCAGACACTCAACCCACTTATCCACCCAGGAGCCCCAGGAGTTTTATGTTTTTATTTTTGTTTCCTCCTAATCCTACCCCAGGGGGTCCACAACTTCAAGTCATGGTAGTGGTGTATTGAGAAACTGGTGAATTTTTAGGACTTGACTTTATGGGCATCAGAATGCCCATGAGCTTAGAACGTGTGGGTAACAGGCAGGACTGACTTCCCTGTCTTACATTACTAAAATTGACTTACATATTACCCACAACTTAATAGTTTTGACTGTTCTATGTAGAGAGCATTGGCATATGGTCACTTATGCAGTTCAGGGTATTCTATTCCTCCATGTTGAGTACATTGCATTTCCTGATTTTATAGAAAATAAATTAAAAACAATTATATTACAGAGCCAGTTTGGTTGTGGCTTTTTCTAATAGTGAACTGTGCATCCTTAACTTTCCTTTCATTATGTTTTCCTTCCCACAGACCATTTTAATCAGTCATTTCTGAAAGTCAGAAGCTTTTTTTTTTTTTTAATTCCAGGAAATGCTTTAATATAATTAAGATTATTGGAGTAGTGTTTGCTGTCTTGTGCTTAAATGCATCATTGTTATTGATTCTTAGTGGTGTTTTCAGATTTAGAAGACATCTGACTTTTAAATTCTCTTCAAATAAATTGACATTTTTAATTGTTTTAAAGCAAAAATACAGTGACTGCCTCATTGGCAAAGCATTCAGCTATATGCTTAGATGACCCAGAGAGATCTAACACTTGGGGCCCACCCTCAAAGATTCTAACTTAGTTTCTAAAAGTAATTTGTGCTTTATCATAAAATTATAGGTTAGAATATTTTAATGCATTCCTAAATGTATGCTTTGTTATGCCTTGAGGCTTAACACTTTTCCAATGACCATTCCATCATTTTATTATGATGGATTCTAAATATGAAATTTATTTTCTTTCAGTAGTTCTTTTCTGTGTCCTTTATTAGCTTCCTCTTGCATTCCACTTAACAACTATTGTAAATCTCTTTCTTTAAGAGTTCTACCCAACTTCTCCCTCCTCATTATTGGCAAGTAATCACATAGCATTTTTGCATCAATGGCAAACTTTATTTTCTAATCCTGTATCAGTTTGCATCCACCTTTATATTCACCCTGCTGTTTTTTCTTGTCTTTGCTCCATTCTCAGTAGGAAAGGTTTCTTCTACTAAAGGTTAGCTTTCCCTGCTCTGCTCTATATCTGTCATTTTCCAATTTACCCCTGCTTTGTTAGTTTTACCCCATAGCTGAAACACCCCAAAACACCCCTATCAACTTCTTTCTTTCTTACTGTTTATACACATGTTCAATTTTCTCCCATCCTAGAAACAAAACACAAGAAAAATCATGAGATCAGCTTTGATCATATATCTCAATTTAGCTTCTCTTTAGCTCTAGCTACCAGAGTCAGGCTTATTAAAGAGTAGTTATTTTTGCTGTATTTATGTCCTTGTCTCTCATTAAATCCTAAGCCTACTAGGTGTATATCATCACCACTCTACTAAATTAAACTGCTCTTAACAAAAATAACCAATGACTTCTCTATTTCCATACTCACAGGTTCTTTTTCAGCTCTTATATTGACCTCTGCAGCGTTTTATGCCAGTAAAATTTTGATTGTTGACCATTTCTCTTTTCCTTGTCTTCAATCGGACCATGCTGCCTTGATTCTCTTCTTACGTGTTTGACAATTCCTCCTTTATATCCAGTTTAGCCTTCTCTGTCTGTCTCTCTCCATGAATATGGTACTACCAAGAATTTCTTCCTTTGTCCTTTTATTTTTCTTCATATACTTTCTCTCTTGATAATCTCAGCCACAGCTATGGCTGTTCAGAAACAATGTCAACTACATAGCTCTTCTACAGATACTTTACACTCAGAACTTAATATGTTAAAACTGAATGCATTGTCTTTATTTCTTAATTGTGCTTCTCCTCAGGTATTTGTTATTTTGATGAGCTACACTATCATCATAGTCCAAGCTGGAATGATAAGGACCATCTTTGACTCTTCCCTCTCTTTATTATCCTCTTCCCTCTAATAGTTATATTATCCATCTTTTCATCCACACACTTAATCTACTGTTACTCCATGGTTCAGAGTGTCCTAATGTCTAGCTTGTCTAAACTCTCTAACCTATCTCTCTACTTTTGGCCTTGTATTCCACAAACCCATTCAACATAGTCCTGTCAGAAGGATTTTTTTAAAAATATATTTATTTATTTATTTTGAGAGAGAGAGAGAGAGAGATTGAGAGAGAGCGAGAGAGAGAGAGAGAGAGAGAGAGAGAGAACGAGGGAGAAAGTGTGCAAGCAGGGTAGGGACAGAGAGAGAATCCCAAGCAGGCTCTGCACTATCAGCACAGAGCTGGATGCAGGGCTCCATCTCAGGAACCCTGTGATCACAACCTGAGTGGAAATCAAGAGTTGACCACTTAACCGACTCCACCCTGGCACCCCTAGAATGATTTTGTTATTTCTGTGCTTAATTCCCATCATGTAAGATTATATCCAAAGAAATATTCCCATTTCCTTTATTTCCAATCATCTGGTAGTTTATGGAAATTTTATGTTTACATTGTCTTTGTATCTGTTCTCACTCCTGCCACCCTATCTACAGAGGGCTCTCCTTGATTCTTACATGGACTTTTCTAATACCTACTTTATTATCTCTTTAGTGACTCTTGCTTTCTGTCTTTAACTCTGTCTAAGGTAACCTTTTAATTTTTCTAAAAGCAGAACTATAGTCATCTTCCTAGTTGAAAAACATTTAATAAATGCTTAACATGTCTGTTTAACTTCTTGAAAGCCTAGTCATTTCAACTAGTCTTCTGCATGAAGCCTTTGATGATCCTCCAGTTAAAACATCTATTTCTGCTGTGATGCTTTATAGTCTTCTCTTGCAATAAATTTATTCTGCTAAATTTGAGATAATATGGGAATTTATGATAATGTTTCCATAAAGTTTTAGAGGAAAGGGATTACATTTTACTGATCTTGTTTATTCTGCAGAGCCTTAACAAAATAGATGCTAATCAAAAAAACATTATCCACTGAACTGAAGGGTTATGTGAGTTAAATTGGATGGTGAGGAGAGAAAAATATTATATAATGCAAAACTCATCTTACAAACATTAATATTTGTAATTTTCATGTTGTCCAACAGCATATCTAGTGAATACATTTTACTATGTATGTAAACATACTCAAATAAGCTTTCCCAGGTTGCCAACATCTTTAGGTGCTCAAAATGGGAACTTTAGGTATCATTTATGTGACACTTTAGGTTGAGATTAGAGTTGTTATACTACTACTAATAACAGAGAATCATTGGGTGAGTTTTTATCTTTAACTATTATTTACAAATACAGGTTTGAGAACCAATTATAATAAGTATATATATTTTTTTGATATTTGAATATAATATCTCAATATTACCGTATGTTCAGCAAGAACAGGACAAGATGAATGATGAACTCCATAAAGAAGAGAAAATATGGAAAGAGAAATTTAAACAGCATGAGGTATCTATTTCTTTTTTTTTTTTTTTTTTAATTTTTTTTTCAACGTTTATTTATTTTTGGGACAGAGAGAGACAGAGCATGAACGGGGGAGGGGCAGAGAGAGAGGGAGACACAGAATCGGAAACAGGCTCCAGGCTCTGAGCCATCAGCCCAGAGCCTGACGCGGGGCTCGAACTCACGGACCGCGAGATCGTGACCTGACTGAAGTCGGACGCTTAACCGACTGCGCCACCCAGGCGCCCCTATTTCTTCTTTTTAAACATCATGATAATTATTCTTCATTTGGAATATTTATTATACTTGAAATGGACATTTAAAAGTAATATTGCCTAGCTGGTATAGAATTTAATTTACTAAGACTTTAAAAAATTCATTAATCACCAGAAATTCTCCTTGAAATATAATGCCCTAAAAATTAAAATAAACTGGGTCAGTGAGTGAACATGTCTATGTAAAATTATAATTCTATTATTTTTTAAGATTTGAGGAAACATGCTATTATGAATATTTCATTATGATTGAAGATGGTTATGAAAGTTACCTCATTTCTTGAACACAATTGAATGTTAAATAATTCTTGTGAATTCAAGATCATTCTAATGATATTTATTAAGTTTAAATTTACTTAACTCATTTTTATATAATATTTATTTATGTATTTATATATAATATAAATATAATATATATAATATAAATATAACATATGTTATATAATATAAATGTAATATATGTTACACATAATATAAATATAAAATAAATTTATATGCAATATAAATATAAAATAAATTTTATATAAAATTTTATATAAAATTATGTTTTTATATAAAACAAAATTTTTAATAGAAATTTTTATATAAAATTATTTTAACTATAAACATGAAGTAGATAAAACTTCTTATAATCCTGATATCCAACTAAACATTCTACCTTTCTTTATCTTTCAAGTATTTTCTTTATATAACCATACTCCTGAAAAAGTAGGTTTCTACTATCCATTTAAAAAAATATATGTATATTTGACATTTAACATTGCATAAGATTGAAGGGTACAGTGTATTGATTTGATGTTATATATTATAATATGATTTTCTCTATGGTGCATATTTAAATAAAAAAGTTGGTTAGGCATGTGAACAGACAGTACATATGAGTGACAAAGGAAAAAAAAAGACAATAGTAATTTACCTATAGGTAACCCAAATGTTGGAGTAGGAGAGCCATTAAGATACCTATAACTATCATGCCATAGCAACATGTTAAACAGATAGATGCTAAGAAAAGAGAACTAGAATCTATAATGAAATATCAAGCATACATTACAGAGTTGAAAAGTTCAGTATGTAAACTTAAAAATTCAGGGCATAAGTTTGACAGTTTGACTCAGCAAATGAGAGCATTAGTGAAACTGAAGCAAGGTCAGCAGAAAATATCCAAATTAAAGCACAGAGAGGACAAAAAAAAATGGGAGGACAGAAGAGAGTACAAGAATATATGATGTATAGTGAAAAGATAAAACGTGTATACTAGTAACCTTTGAAGGATAGGAGAAAGAGAATGGAGCAGAAACAGTGGGTGAAGAGGTAATAGTTGAAATGGTTTAAAAGAAAATCGATCTGAACATTCAAAGTTGATTAATGATCTGTATACAGAATCAATACAGAGAAAACCACACCTGGGAATTTAGTAGTGTAATGATTGAAATTCAAGACAAGGGGGGAAAGTTGTAAAAGCTGCCAGAGAAAAAGGCACATTACCTAAAAGGAGCTACAGTGAACTTAACAGCTGACTTCCTAAGTGAGATAGTAGAAGAAAGTAGAAGATAGTGCTAAGTGTTAATGGTTTCTTTGATCATTAGTGTTCTTTGAATCCTGAGTTTCCCCTGATTTCTGTACTCAGTTTTCATTTTCTGGAATGTATGCCTAAATACCTGTCAAAAAGATTTTTGGATGGCAAATTTTCTTTATTTTGCACACTTGAGAATAATGTCATTTTGCTTTTACAATCGAATGATTTGTTTCATGGGATATAGAATCCAGACTTATTACCATTTGGTTTTAACAATTTAAAGATCTAACTCATGTGCGTATTTAGATATTTTTGCCTGTGTTATCGTTGTAGATTTGACACTCCTTCCTTACATTCTTTTGAAGTTTTAGGATTTTTCACTTTTTGCATTTATTCACACAAATTTACTGATTTCTTACTGCATGCCGAGCACTTCTGAGTGTTCAGGGTGCAGCAGTGGATAAAACAGAAATAACTTCTGCCTTCATGGAACTTAACGTTCCTTAGGGTTCTGAAATATTGCTGCATCTATATGAGTGTATCAGGGCATGTGTGTCTATGTGTATATGTGAAAAGTTAACTCTACTCTTTATCTTATCTTATGGCCTTTTTTGGTTTAGAAAACATTTTTGTATTATTTTTTCCCTTTAATCCTTCTCAGGTCTTTAGCTGTAACTCCTACTAGTGGTGTTGGAGTTTCTGTGTTGATCCTCCGCTTGAAAGTCTCTGTCATATATTTCATGTCTTTGTTGTTTTGCAGGTTGTTTTGGAAAAACACCTAACTTGGAAGTTTTTCTTTAGCCAACACCTATTTAAAGTCATTCTAGTGTGATTTTTTTGTATGAATGAGTCATATTTTTTTATTTGAATATTTTCATTTCATTTTTAGATAAAGTTATTCTTATTTAAACATATTTTTCCTAAAAAAATATTTAAATTTTTATTTAGTACCTACCTTTTCTCAGAAACTAGTTCTTCCTTCTGCTTGTTCAAGTATTTTCATTGCCTCACATCCTTTGTGTTAACTTTTCTCCAATAGTTGCTGAATTTTGTTGACCTGTTTACTTTTGTTTTAGGACTCTAGTGACAATGGCATTTTCTCACCTAACCCAATGATCTCATTTAATGTAGTATGTGCTTATCAGCTCTCGTAATAGTTGAGAAAGGATAAAATGTGTGACTAGGCTGGTTCTTCATATTGCATATATGTATGCTCTACCTTGCCTTCCTGGTATCATCATCTCACCAAATAATTCCCTGTGTCTGCAGTCCCTGTGCTAGCTCTGGGAAAGTTTAAAGTCCTTTCCCCCTACACAAATTTTGGCTGTGGTTTTTCTCGCTTTTTCTCTGTACTATTCTAATTTCATATGCTTTCTATCTTCAAGGAATTCCCCAATTTATATCTGAGTGGCTTAGTATAGTCATAATATTAGAATGTCAACTTACTAACTTGATCAAATCTCTCAAATATTTTAAAATATTATATCCTTTAAAATAAATGGCTTTTGTCCTAAGTGAATTTTATAGTAACTTCATTATGACTTCAATTTAACTATTTGTTTTCAGCCTATATTTTATATGATATTTTAATAATATTGTTCACTTATACTGGTATTTATCTTACTTTACTTTAGGAGTTTATTAAAAAGTTGCATCTACAAATAGAAGAAGAAAGAACAAGATTTAAAGATCTGCAAGAAAAAGAAAAAATGCGTTTGTTAAAACTGCATCATAATGCAGCTGTAAAAATTCAAGCTAAATATAAAGCATTTGTGGTCTACCAAAAATATGGTCCAATCATAAAAGAACAAATAGAAAGTAAGAGAAGGGAAGCGCAAGAGTGGAAAGAAAAAGAAGCAAAAATACGACAGATGGAAGAAGAAAAACGAAAGAGATTGGAGGAAGAACAAAAGATTGAAGAAGAGATAAAAAAGCAGAAGCAAGAGGAAAGGGAGAGGAGAGAAATAGAATATGAAGAAAAAAAGAACATCGTGAGAAGAGAAAAAGAGCAACTATTAAACAAAGAAAAATTAAGATTAAGAGGAGATGCAAGCAGACAATTAATGATAAGTAGAGCATTAAAGAAAGGTGAATATAATGCAAAACATTTAACTGTTGAAGATACATCAAAGAATAAGGATGATATAGCCAAAAAGGTAGGGGAGGAAAAGTCAAAGGAGTGGGAAGATGTTCCCCTCTGGCTAGTTGAACAATCAACTAAGAGAAAAAATCTAGGTAGACAGCTTGTATTAAAAGAGCCAATACAAGTGCAATGGAAAGATTCTATACCAAACCAGGTGATTTTGGCAGAAATTGAAATGGAAGTAAAAAATGAAAACCTAGCAAAACAACAATATCCCACAAAAATCATCAAGCAAGAAAGAAAATGTGAAGATGTAGACAAAAAAACCGAATTGGAATACCCAGGTCTGAAAGAAAACGTGAATGAACAGTTTCATCTGCAAGAATTAAAGTCTCAAATGCCAAAAGGGGAACATGTGAAACCTGCCATAAATGAGAATGTGAGACAAGACACCCAAACAATAATATTAGGACATAGTCAAGGAATTAACAAGGTGAAAAACAATGAAGCACAGAAAATAATCAAAGATAATCAACAGAATAAGGTACAAAAAGTAGAAAAAGAAGAGATATCAGAACAGAATGGACCACTATATGAAGAGAATAATATTTTAGTAATTTCAGTGAAGCAACAACCACTAAAACTAGAAAATCCTAAAGATATAGGGGAAAATGTAATACTACAAGAACAAGAAGTTGATTTCATTTCCAAAGAAACTGAGGAGAACCGAGAAGGCAATACTCTGAATAGTGATGTGATTTTTAACAGCAGTGATTCCATGATAAATATAGAAAACAAAATAAATGAGCAAGATTATAGTTTAGGAAGAAATGCTCTTTGTGAAGATTTGGGAGGTTTTGATGCAAAAAATTCCTTAGTTTTTAAAGAAGTAAACTCTCTTAAGTCTCAAATTAAAGAAACCGCAGAAGAATGTCATAATAGAGCTGAATGTGAAAATATTGTGACCTGTACTTTGCCAAAGTCAACACTTCTATCTTCTATTGAAGAAAAGAGGCTAGCTTGGATAAAATCATTTAAACCTTGGTTTGAAATTTTCAAGCAAAATCAACAAAAGGAAATTGTTAGGACAAAGAGACCTGTAAAATGCCCAGCCAACACGATGCCTCCTTTGAATACACTAGAAATTCTTCAGTGTGGCCCTTGGAATACTTTACAGCAGGTATTTTATAACTTTATAATACTTTTTCATATTTAATTACAATTAGTTCTCTAAAATGTCACTTTAAAAATATCAGTAGAAGGCATATTTTGTATCCAAGAATTTTGTCTCTTTTTTAAAAAAAAATATTTATTTATTTTTGAGACAAAGACAGAGCACAAGTGGGGAAGGGCAGAGAGAGAGAGAAGGAGCCGCAGAATCCAAAGCAGTGTCCAGGCTCTGAGCTGTCTGCACAGAGCCCGATGCGAGGTTCTAACTCAGGCACCATGAGATCATGACCTGAGCTGATGTCGGACCCTCAACTGACTGAGTCACCCAGGCGTCCCAAGAATTTTGTCTCTTAATCGGTGATATTGCTAATGAGATATTGCCCCCATTTGAGAGGGGATGTATTTAAAAGATCTCAGTTAAAATTATTCAAGGCATCTTCTTTCTCAGTGAAGCACTATAAAAAGTTTTGGTTTATATCTTGAAGCCATGTTCAGGGTTCCTGTAGCCATTATTAAGCTTCTAAGAATGGAGGCAGCTGGGAATTTAGTGTTGAATTAGAATAGGAAATTCCAAAATTGACACTCAGTTACTTTGCTATAGTTTTGGGCACAATACCACCTACTGGTTTGTTTTGGAATGAGGTGGATTTCTCTGTACTTGACAAGGGCTGTGAAAGAAGGGCTTACAATAGAAGACTCTAGAATTTAGTCATGTGCTATATAAACATGGTACGTATATACTGACATTTAAAATAATTGTCATCAACTGCTACTAATTTCTATGTGTATAAAGCCCATATTTCAACCAAAATTAATACAGAAACTAACAGATATGTAGAAAAACAGTAAAAAAAATATTTCAAGTGGTATAATACTAGAAAGGACTTCATGATTAAAATACATATATTTGTCTAGGGCCAGAAACTGAAATGTATTCACTAAAATTTATTTAGTTTTTTGATATAGACAGATGCCTATGAAAAGAAATATTCATGTTAATATATATGAATTTTTAAAATTCATTCACTCAACTAATATTTATCTGTCCAATATGATAGATTAATATGTATTGTTGAAGGGACAGAAAGAAACCTATCTTTGGCCTTATGGAGCTAACTTTGGTACACAAAAAGGCTTTAAACAAATAAATACACTGTTAAATACATTACTACAGATCTGGATAATTGCTATAAATAAGATTTCAGAGATTCTATGATAGGGTAATAAGATAGTTGGCTTTAAAGAGATCTCTGGAATGTGAAAAAGCAGTATAAAGAACAAGAATTACTTTAAAGTTCCTCTATTTCCTAGGCAATGTATTTTTCATTTCCATCAGATCTGTAGGGCTACCTATAGAATCACTCATTAACTCTTCTATTAATTTTTTTCTTTGGCTATGTTATCTCTGGAATCATTCTTTTTCTACTTTCCCTAAGATGTTAGTGCAGGCATTCTTTTTCTTTTTCCCTAAAAAAATTTTTTTTTGATAGAGACAGAGTGCAAGTTGGCGGGGGGTGGGGGGGGTGGACAGAGAGAGAGGGAGGCACAGAATCCAAAGCAGGCTCCAGGCTCTGAGCTGTCAGCACAGAGCCTGACGGGGGGCTTGAACTCATGAACTGTGAGATCATGATCTGAGCTGAAGTCTGACGCTAAGCCAACTGAGTCACCCAAGTGCCCCTAGTGTAAGCTTTCTGAGTTTATAACATTAGCTACTAATTTTTACTTTGGGTAATTTTCTTTATGTATATGTTTGAGCTAGGCCTGAGTGACAGTTTCATGCTCACTGTGTACTTGTTTCTAATGTAAACTGAAGTTAGAAAAACAATGGTGCTCTTTTCTTTCATTCTGGGTCTTTGCTCTGTTCAACAAGAAGAGCACTGAGGAGGTTAAGATGTGTGAACCTGTCTGCTTGGTGTTTCTTATCCTATCCACCCTGTTTCTTTTGTGAAACTCTTGTCAATGTGCATAAAGTGAGGATTAACCCTCTTATTTCTTAGAGCAAATCCTTGCAAACTGTACTGTGTATACAGATCACCTGGAAATTTTAAAATGCTGGTTCTGATTCGTTGGGTCTAGTGGCTAGTCTCAATGCTCTGCACTTTTTCAGTGCCCTTGGATGATGCTGTTGGTGCTGGTCCATGGATTAATTTGAGTAGAAATGTTGTAAAGGACACTGTAATCCTCTAACCACTACTCACGCAACTATTTCAAACATTTAATTTTTCTTTGAAGCATCAAGTATGCAGTATAAAGTTGAAAGATATTTATGAATGTGTCTATAAATGCAGCAGTGTTATAAAATACCATCTTGTAATGACTCTGGTAGATGGTTTATCTTGGTGTCATTATTCACTACTACTACTGACCCATGACTCCCTTACTTTGATTTTCTAATCTCTTAGCTCCACGTCTTTGTCCTTATCTTGATCAGTTGCTGCCATCTTTGGAAGGCCCTTCTGGAGGAGACCTTTAGAAGAGAAAATTTTACTCTTCTAGAATTTCACCCAATGATGAATTCATTTTGCTTATATTAATCTCTCACTTTCAGCCTTTGGCTCATGAAATCGGGTCTGCCTCTTGTCTATACTGCTTTACATATGGCCAGGCAAATAGTGGTTTTCACTACTCGACTGTTGGATGGATGAGTGGGAGGAGGGATAAGTGGATGAATAAATAATTCCAACTGAATGTTGACCTTTTTCTCCATATAACTACTAGCTTCACAACTTAGATAGAAGGTATTAATGAAAAAAGAAATTAATAGAAAATTTATTTAAGTAAAATTTAATAAAGTACTAACAAGCCCTATATCAAGTAAGATCAGGGTCCTAATTTTGTATCTGCCATTTACTGGCTGTGTCACCTTGGGCAAGGTGCTTGATTTTTCTGAGCCTCAGTTTTATCTTCTATAAACTGGGAAGAGCAATATCTATTGGATAGGATTGTTGAGTTTTGAAATAATATATATGAAGATTATAGCCTAGGACTCCTAGTATATATAATAGTTATTGTCAAACTTGGATCTCAAGCAAAGATTATTGATAAGTAATATATATTTTTTCTAGTTAATTCATTTTTATTTTATTTTTGGTATTTTGTTACTAATGATAACTTGCTTCAAATAACCGTAAAAAAGGTACTAAACTTAAGGCTTTTCTTCTATGTCTTTATAACATGGCATGAAGGATAGCATCTCAGCTGTTGATTAACTTCTAGATCAGAATCTTTCACATCCTTATACAAGGCAAATTGTAATAAACTGATGTTGTAATGGTACATGCACTACTAAAAGATTCTGTTTCATTTAAGCTGGTAATTACTCAGATTCAGTCTCTTTGCAGCTGATTTTTAAAATGATATTATTTAAAGAGATTTAAAATTGTGTCACTGAGCAGATGTTCTGCCAAAAGCAAAACCAAGAGTCATGACTTTCATTATTTTTGTAATTACAGTTTACATAGATGACTGACACTCCTTATGTTGAACTCGAGAATAATTGAGAGTGAAATCTCTAAAATTATACAGCTATTTTAGGTCATTTTATGTACCATGATCTATCAAGGATTTAGGGACCTATAGATGATTATTAAGTAGAAAACTGATTTGTTATCTTGTATTAAAATATAATGAATGAGTCAAAAGTTCTATAGGTAGAACAGTTTTTTCAAGTTATAAGAGTTTGAAAATATTAGTATCTGAAATATCTTCATATTACTCACTATTAAGGAAAGAAACTGTGAATGCTATTAGTACATTTTAGTTTTGCCGCAGGGCAATTTATTCCTTCATTTATTTCAGAAGCATTTAGTGAGCATCCACTATGCTTCAGTTGCTCTTTTTCAGGCTGACCATGAAGTGGTGAATGCCTAGGAGTATTAATTTTATATTGACCTTAATATTTGGGGCATAAAGCAGTTTTATTTGATTATTGCCATGCATAGATCAATACATGATTAATATAAAAATTTATTTTGATCTCATGTTTGGCAAAACCTAGGGTAGAATAGATAATAAATTGCTACATCATAAGGAAATTTTTAAATCTTCAATAAAAGGGAGGAGGAAATATTATTGAAATGCCTCATATTCAAAAGTGGATACCATTAACAAGGACACTGGAGCAGTTGTCACTTCTTTACTGTAATTGAATTAAACTAGAGAAATGACCACATCATAAAAACTAGAACCTTATTGTTTACATAGGTGATTGTAAGCAGTGTATTATGAAGTCAAGCAAGGTAACATACATTAGAAGGTAGAGAAGCATTTGTTACCAAAAATCTGCAGTTGTGGAGTTTTCAGGGTTTTTTTTTTTTTTAATATTTATTTATTATTGGGAGAGATAGAGCATGAGTGGGGGAGGGGCAGAGAGAGAGGGAGACACAGAATCTGAAGCAGGCTCCAGGCTCTGAGCTGTCAGCACAGAGCCTTACGAGGGACTTGAACCTACAAACTGCGAGATCATGCCCTAAGGCAAAGTCAGACACTTAACTGACTGAGCCACCCAGGTGCCCCAGGAGTTTTCAGTTTTTAAGTGCTTAGTTCTAAATAGTGTTTTCACTTTTTAGTATAGAGCTCGCTTCCCAATTACAGAATTTATAGGTTCTCTTGTGGACAAATTAAATGGGTAATATACTGTGGCTTTCTTGACACAAATGGATGAATATTTTCCTTTCTGAGATACCATAAAATAGAAATTTGTTTCAAAAGTTATTTTAGATTATAATAACTGAAAAATTCCTGAAATAATTATACTAAAAACTTATTTCACCTGAAATTTAAAAAATATTATTACTTTTGCTATTTAAAGTAAGGAGTGGGCTTAATTCCTTCATTATACCTCCAGGACCATATGTTCTTCCATTCACTTATATAAACATGTAAATTTAAAACTTTCAGTTTAATTTAATGCATAGGAAATATTCCATATGAAGAGGAGCTACTGTACTTAAGAGTTTTGTACTTTTTCTAGCTTTTTCTGAAGCAATAGTGCTTTGAATTTCAATAGAACATTTTTTGAATCTCTGTTTTCAGTATGATAAATACTAGACTCTTCTTATGAAGCTAATAATATTAAATTTCTTTTCAGTCCATGGGAAACCTGGCCTCAGGTAGGATTTTTGATATGAAATGTGTGAAAGTATTCTTACTATACAATGATTTAGCATATATAGTTATTTCAGTGCATGGACTCATACTGAAGAACCAACATATTATATTTATTGTTCTGTCATTTTACTTATGTGAGAGTTCTTGAGTTTAATAAGTAGAGTGTTTTTCAGCAATCCAAAAATATTCCTGTTATCTGACATATTCTTGTGGAACTTTAAGTGTAGTCCTTAATATACATACCACAAAGTTGAGCACATTCTTTGATATTGAATTTTCTTCAGTTAAAAAGACTAAAACCAAAAAGATAGAAAAGTTGTTTAAGAAAAAAAGCTTTGTGAAGTATTGAGTCCACAGTAATATCTCAGTAATAAGAAATTTCATAAATGTATGGTCTCCAAAGTATTTGGAAATACAGGAAAAAAAATACCATTCATGATTTGTTGTATCACAGATTCTATATGCTTTGAGTATATTAGTAAGGAATGATTCATACCATTATAATTCAGAGGTCTTGTAAAATGAAATTATTTTTATTACATGGTTTACTTATTATTGCATGGTTCTATTTTATGAAAGTTTTTTTTTAATTCTTTTTTTAACATTTATTTATTTTTGAGACAGAGAGAGACAGAGCATGAACGGGGGAGGGGCAGAGAGAAAGGGAGAAACAGAATCTGAAACAGACTCCAGGCTCTGAGCGGTCAGCACAGAGCCCGACGCTGGGCTCGAACTCACGGACCGTGAGATCATGACCTGAGCCGAAGTCGGACGCTTAACCGTTCGAGCCACCCAGGCGCCCCTGCATGGTTCTATTTATTTCAGGTTCTATAATTTCTCAAATTTTCTTTGTTTTTGGAAGATAACTGAGCTATTCTAGTTGAAGCATGGAGGGTTGGGTACAAAATCTATCCCCTGACATTTTGTGGCTCCTATTACTATCCAGGTATCCCTAGGATACAGATCTTAAACATTTATGTAGTATAGTCCGCAAAATAGTGCCAAAATAATTCACACAGAAAGTGAATTTGGTGAAAAATCAGGGAGTGAGCTAATAAACGATTATATTATTGCTTCTATGCATGTTGCTTTTTTTGTATTTGAATTGGTCATGGATGATGCATTATTTGTCCTTTCTATGTGAGGAAAAAAAAAGAGGCCAGATAATTTAATTGAAATTGAGTTGTTAGTAAGTCAATTTTCAATATATAGCCTTAGTGTTTTAGATGAATTATTTTACTTTTTTTATTAAAAAATTTTTAACGTTTATTTATTATTGAGAGACAGTGCAAGCGGGGGAGATGTAGAGAGAGGGACACAGAATCCAAAGCAGGATTCTATCAATTCTGACTGTCAGCAAAGAGCTCTATGCGTGGCTCGAACGCATGAACCATGAGATCATGACTGGAGCCAACGTTGGATGCTTAACTGACTGAGCCACCCAGGCACCTCTTAGATGAATTTTAAAACAATTTTGCAAGGCTAATATAGTTTATATTCATTATTTTTACTCCAATTTTCTTGCGCTCCAATTTTCTTGCATTCTCTAGGTTACAACAGTTACATTTCAAGATTTGCCAGGTTGTAGTCTTTCCACACTGGCAGAGTGTCCAAATCTTCAATTTCTGTCTCTTCGACGCTGTGGATTAACTTCTTTGCACAGCCTGAGTAACTGCAAAAAACTGAAGCACATTGATGCACAGGTATGTTCTCCATTCTCCTCATTATTTATCCTATAATAAAATATAAAATGGATTTATGCTTACATGTTAGAAATGATAATTTTAAATAAATGTTTTCTATAATAATCTATAACTCAGGGTCTAGGGAGATCGAGGGCCAAAATTTGTGAGAACCATTGAGGAAAGATGATTAGGAAGTATGACCTGGAATCACTTATCTCTATTTGCAGATGTTTTTGTTACTTTTTGCTGCATAACAAATGACATTACTTAGTAAATTAAAACAACAACCATTTTATTTGCTCTTGGTTCTGTGGGCTGTGAATTGAGGCCTGGGTTTTCTGGGCATTTCTTCTGCTTCATGTTTTGTTGACTGAGTCTCTTATGTAATTTGAAGCTGGGGCTGGAATGTCCAAAAGGCCTTTTCTTATATATCTGATGCATTGGGAGGTTGGAATTTCAATCTTTCTTTCTCTCCTCTCTCTCTCTCTCCCTCCCTCTCACTGTGTGTGTGTGTGTGTGTGTGTGTGTGTGTGTGTGTGTGTGTGTGTCTGTCTCTTCCATTTTGAGCTTCTTTACAGAATCACCCAGTGCCACCAGAAAGACAAATCTCCAATATTCAAATGCTTATCAAGCATCTGCTGTCATCCTGCTCACCAAGTCTGAATTTGTGTGAGAGGGGACTGGGTTGATGTGTCAATACTGGGTTGGTGAAATTTATTGGGGCCTACCAAAGTTACCCATTGGCTCCTAAAGAGTCACATCCTTCCCACATGCAAAATACACTCAGGTGCCAGAAACCCCCAAATCTCATCACCTTGTGGCATCAGACTTACACTTGAAGCACAGAATTTTCTCATCTAAATCAGACCCAAGTGGAGATAACATGCTCTGATAGAGTTCTTTCAAGTCCGAGATCTGTGATATAAAATGAGAAGTTATCTTCTCTCACTGTTCCCTCCTCCGTAACACCCTCACAGACAGTGGTGAGATAGGGCTTGATTAGTTACAATAGTCATTCCCATTCAAAATGAAAGAAAACAAGAAGCCCATAGCAGTGCCTGTTCCATAGCTGAACACATATTTCCTTAATGAGGACTCAGTTCTCCATAAAAATAGTTTTCTATGACTCTGGGTTCTGCCACTGGAGCAGACTGAAGCATTATTCAGAATTCTGAAGAAGACTTGAGAAGTATTCTCAAGGCATACTTCTTTTTCCAGAAGGAGTGCTGTTTGCAACTGAGAATTTTTCTCAGCCTGTTTTTTTCCCATAGAGGATGGGGGCAGGTGTTGTTGCTTGAGGCTTCTTTTCATTTGACTTATTCTTTTCAGTTCACACAGGCAGTGTTTCCACCAATCTGATTTTCTTTTAAAACTTTCTGGATTTCTTATGCTTCTTATTAAGTTCACTCCATTAGACAAAGGCTTTATGCTCATAAATATTTTTGAGGGGGGATGCTATGAGACTACTCCCTTAAGATTCTTAAAAGCCCATTTATCCTTCTGTGGTCTTAAAAAATAGAATTGCTGGGGCACCTGGGTGGCTCAGTGGTTAAGCGTCTGACTTCGGCTCAGGTGATGATCTCACAGTTTGTGAGTTCGAGCCCCACATCAGGCTTATTACTGTCAGCATGGAGCCCGCTTTGGATCCTCTGTTATTGTCTCTCTCTCTCTCTGTCCCTCCTCTTCTCCCTCTTGTGCTCTCTTACAAAAAAAAAAAGAATTGCTGTTACATCCTAGACATGTGATCTTGACACTGAACCAGTATTATGTATTGCAGAGATATGTATGTGTAGTAAAAATATAAACGTACACATGAGATAACATACCTAACTCACAATATTGCTGTTCTTTGGAGAGGAACGGAGCAAAAGGCACTGAGGAAGGGAAGTGGGGAGATTTCAACTTGTTTCAGTCTTTAAAATGATAGTTTTAAAGGAACTATGACCAAGTGTTCACTTTTGTTCATTTAGATTGCTTGAAATATTTTGTTACATGATCGTCTGTATTCTGTATTTTGAAAGATTATTAATAAGTACAAAATTAGTTAATAATTTATTAGATTACTTACTATTTTCATCTAGATACCATAACATTCTACATATTTGTCTTAAAGTCAGAGATTTGGATGTATGCTTGGAGATCACATCTCACTCTTCCTCTTTTTGTAAGCCTTAAATGTTTCATTAGTAAGCCATTGAGATAAAACTAATTACATTTGTTCTTTGTTTTAGGAAAACCATATTGAGTCTATCAATTGTGAAAATTTGGAAAATCTCTGTGTTGTTCTTCTTAATAAAAATCAACTGACTTCTTTTCATGGTTTGGATGGCTGCACTAATATCCAAAATCTTGAACTTTCACATAATAAAATCACTCGAATTGGTAAGAGCAAGGGAATTTGAATATATTGGCATTTCTCATTATTACATTTTGTTTCATTTATTCCTTTTCAAGAACAGACCACCATCACTAATTTGCTTATTTTATTTGTGCCGTACTTACCTAATCTTTTATCCAGGTGCATGAAGGAAGTAAAATTATTTTTAAAATATATAAAGGGAATATGCTCCCACCACTGGTAAATGGCTAGTTATTAGTAGCTCCTTAAATTACTATATTCACTGACCTGTTCCTGTTTTTATAGCCAGTAGTGATCTGAGCTATACTACAGAATCTAATACCCTGGCTTGGTTCCATCATATGTTTATGGATCCTATGCTTTCTACACTTGGCAACTGTCAGTACTGTTCCCTAAAAATCCCTGTCATCACTCCTTTCCTTGCCTACATACCCTACTTGTACTAACCTTTCCTTTTTTAGATAAGGCTATCACCACATGAAAGAAAGAATTCATCAGTTTGCATCACCCTAATCTTTTCCATCCTTCCATCTGTCTATCTGTATCCCTTTTTATCTATGTCTGTTTCTACCCTCATACTTTATAATCCATATAATTCAGCAATGAAAATGTCTTTTCTTGTTTAAGGCCAGTCCTTCTATTTTCTAAGACTGTCAGTTTCCTTTGATACTTTATTCTATCATTTATCACCTGTCTTATGTCAAACACTTCCTTTTGCCATTCACTTCTACCATTGCCTCATTGCTCTTACCCTTGACTGTCAAGTTTTGTGAAAGTGTTCTGTTTGTGCTTTCACTTTTTACTATCCAACTTCCCTCCTCTTCCTACTGAAATTCAGCTTACGTCTAGACTGTTAACAGTGGGATCACTCTAAAATAAAAATCTCATTATACTTCTTAGTGCCTGGCTTAAAATTCTCTGTTCGTTTTTCACTTAACTTGTGAAATTCTCAAGGGCCTTGATAGGGACTTAAATAATGGTTAATGTATAATCAAGATTGCCAAAAAGTCAGGAACTTGATAAAAATTTTACTCTGGGGCACCTGGATGGCTCAGTTGGTTAAGCATCCCAATCGTGGCTTCAGCACAGGTCATGATCTCCTGGTTTGTGAGTTTGAGCCCCACGTTGAGCTCTGTGCTGTCAGTGTAGAGCCTGCTTGGGATTCTCTCTCTTTCCCTCTTTCTCTGACCCACTTGCTCACTCTCTCTTTCAAAATAAATACATAAACAAGTTAAAGAAAACTTTTTTACACTGGAATAATACTAATAGCTTAAATTTTTGGACCCCCAAAAGGTAGTCCTTTCCACCTTCTCCTTACTATAATCATTAGGAAATGTGATCTGGACTGAAATTTCAGCGAGTGGGATGGGAATAGATGGGGTAGTGGAAGAAAGCTCACTTTCCCATTTGATTCTATTTTATTTTTGATATGTGAAACAGACTACATTAGTCAAATTACATTAAAAAAAGGCATACTCAAAGAGATCATTCTTTTTTCCCTGTCTTTTCACTCTGTTGTCATATCTACTTTTTATATAGATATTTTGTATATATGCACATATAACATGTATATATGTATACAATGTATGTATATCACTTATGTGTATTTATGTATATGTGAATATACATTTACAACATATATCTAAGAGGTACATGTATACATGCTAATCCTTCACAAAAGAGAATATTTGGGGTGCCTGGGTGGCTCAGTTGGTTGAGTGTCCGATTCTTGATTTCAGCTCAGGTCATTATCCCACAGTTCTTGAGTTCTAGCCCCATATAGTATTCTGCGCTGACAGTGTGGAGACAGCTTGGGACTCTCTCTCTCTCTCCCTCTCTCTTTGCCCCTCCCCAGCTCTCACTTATGTGCACACACACACTCTCTCTCTCAAAATAAATAAATAAAACTTAAAAAAGTAAAGAACAAAAACAAAAATATAGAATATTTTAAGTACTGTCCATTATGTTTATTTTTTTCACTTAACAGCGTGTTATGGAGTTCATAGCATTCTTTTTTTCATAGTTTCATAGTATTCAGTTCTGTGGATGGATAAGGTTTTATTCCACTGGTTCCTGGTTGAGGGACATTGAGTGGTTTCTAATCTTACACATTTGCCATAATACCTAATTGGATACCTATATCATTTCATACTTTATCAGTTATATCTTTAGGTTAATGTTCTGCAATAAATATTGCTGATGCAAAGGACATCTGTAATTTAGGAAGATAGTGTCAGGAACATTCTATGGGTTTAATTCAATTATTTTTATTCTTTTTCACTCTTGTTAACATAAATGTTTTTTTAAGAAAGTTTATTTATTTGAGAGAGACAGAGACAGTGCAAGTGGGAGAGGAGCAGAGAAAGAGAAAGAGTAAGAGAGACAGGGAATCCCAGACAGGCCCCACACTGCCAGCACAAAGCTGGACACAGGACTCGAACTCACAAAACCGTGAGATCATAACCTGAGCCGGAACCAACAGTCAGATGCTTAACCAACCCAGCCACTCAGACAGCCCAGCGTAAATACTTGAAGTCTATACATTCTCCTGTGAGCACTGTTTAGTCCATAACCTCTGTGTTTTCATCAGTTCTACAATTTTATGACATATTTTGCCTTTTACCTAAGATTTAAAATTTCTATATGGTAAGACCATTTTGTGTTGTTGCTGTTATTCTTTTTAGTTTTATTGTATTATAGTGAGAGACTTATCTTTGTGCCACTTCTGCTTTTTGTAACTTACTGTGATTTTCTAATGTGTGGTCAATTTTCAGGAATGTTTCATGTGTACTTAAAAAGGAGGTCATTGTTTTTAGTTGGAGTATGGAGTTTACATTTTTATCTTTATGACCTACTTTAGTGATCATTTGTTGGAGATCTTCTATGTCTACTTGACCCATCATAGACTGAAGGAGTTGAGCTAGTATAAATATATTTGTTATTATTCAGTCTATTTACTTTTGTATATTCTTTGGTTTCTGTTTTATGAGTGTTGCTTCATGCTGTTTCACTGATATTCTTAACTGTGTTATCTTTATTGTGAATTTTAGCCTTGAAATTTATAAATTCCCTTCTTTTTCTCCTTAATGCTTTGAGACTAAACTTTACCTTGTCTAACAACATTTTATTTTTGTTTGTATTTGCCTACCTGGCCATAAAAAGCAAAACAAAACAAAACAAAACATCTCGAAGCACTTTGTTTTAGGTATGTACTTATATACAGCATAGATTTGGTTTCTATTTTTGGATCCAATTTTAAATTTATAGGACATGGCCATTTGCATTAGTAATTCATCGTAGACACTTGGTGTTAGCACTGTCATCACACTCAGGATGATGCTATCTCTTTCTGGGAGGAGGCCTTGTTGACAATACATGGGTTCTCCCACCACTGGAGCATTTCCATTTCTTACTTATCTATTCAGTTTCCATAGGATTCCCTCTGTACCAGTGTGGAGTAGGGTGGATTGTATTGGTTGTGGATGCTTACTACCCCACTTAGAAAAAAATCAGCTTGTAATTTCATCTCCCATTTACACTGGAAGCATAGGTTGGGGTATGTTTATTTAATTGTTGCTCATTATGGATTTCTGAAGGAGATACAGGGAGAGTTGGATCTAGGCAGTCACCTTCATCTTCCTTTTTTATTTTTAATATGGGAAAAATATAGTTGTTTTCAAAAAGCAAGCTTTTGCAGACATTTCAAGGCACACTTTTGAAAATATAATGCATAATATTCTTTAATGTGTTTATTTGCCTATGTGTCTGTGCTGCCTGCTTTGGGACTACTCATATTTTCTCCCATATGGAAATAGTGATACCTTTGATACAATTTTTATTTTAAAATTTTAGTTTACAAGACAGAAATAATTTTGTTGTTGCTGGAATGAAGGCAAGTGCATTGATAATATATGTTGCTATATTGGCACACCCTGAAGCAAGCTTAGCAAAAAAAAAAGGGCTGTTTGTGAGAGAGATGCTTTAACTCCCATTCACTTCATTTTCATTGCCAGCAGGGCTGTATGGGATTTCTTGTAACCAGTGGATTTCCTGGGATAGGATATCTGCGTGATTTATGTGGAAACTGCCATGGTATTAATTGATGTACTTGAGGTATCTTTATGTAGTACAGAGCAAACAAGGTAAAAGACATCTTTGCTGTCTGTTGGGCACAATGAAAACACTGTATTTATTGAGTGTGAGGAGAGTATACATGAAAAAGTAGATTTTTCTGAAGACCAGTTGGAGTCTGTTTTTCATCTTTAGGAACTGCTTACAGAGATTCTGGTTGAGCTAAGGGAAAAGCATAGATTTTGTCTTTCAATGATGTATTGATGCTAAGAACCCTTATGAAGGAGCACAAAGATAGATTTGTGTTTATAAGTTAATAGGTTACTATTCCATGCTATAATATTTCTTGAGGAGGTGAAATAAAATTGGAAGAAATACCATGTGTTCTACATCTGCAGTTTCAAGTATAATTTGTTCCTAATTTTTACTAAGCTGTAGTTGTTGCAGTAAATATGTAAGGTTAGCTCTAATTACTCCTTTTATTAGAAAACTTTAATGCACATTTTTATCTGACTTTCATTGCATTTAAGTGAATGAGAATAGGAACTCTCAATCTGCTTAAGGCAATTCATTTGAATGTTTTCCGTTCTAATTAAACTAATTACAGAAATGGAAACACAATGTAAAATATACTTTTTAAAAGTAGCAACCTAGGGGCGCCTGGGTGGTGCAGTCGGTTAAGCGTCCGACTTCAGCCAGGTCACGATCTCGCGGTCCGTGAGTTCGAGCCCCGCGTCAGGCTCTGGGCGGATGGCTTGGAGCCTGGAGCCTGTTTCCGATTCTGTGTCTCCCTCTCTCTCTGCCCCTCCCCCGTTCATGCTCTGTCTCTCTCTGTCCCAAAAATAAATAAACGTTTAAAAAAAAAATAAAAAATAAAAGTAGCAACCTAAAATGTAATTCTATAAATTCAAAGTTACAGAGTTAATAATATATTTTTGTTATTGCCATTAAT